TCTTCATAAGATTCATCTCATCTAATGTGGAAGAAGTATCAATGCCATGTATTAATTCAGACTACCTACATTGACATGCAACCTATTAAGAATTTGGTTTGATGGCTCAGTTGGACTGAAAAATTCAAATTAAATTTCGGGGGGTGGTGTAGATTGTAAATAGTATAACTAAAGGTAATATTTTGCTATTTGTACTTCTGAATCTCAGTACTTTCTCAATTAGATTTAAAAAAACTGCGTCTGCACGTGCACAGTGCCCTGTAGTATACATACATATTTGCTAAAAAAGCCTCCAATGTTTTTATGCTATGTCATCAAAGTGACTTTCTCGCAATGGCTTTCTCCATTAATGAATGCAGTGTCTACAATTTTGTTCAGAATCGATGTAATGCACATGTAAACGAGTATGTGAATCATATTGCTTAATCTAAGGTGCATCTAAACAGAACTTTCAGAATCAGATTGGATTTATTCATGTTGCTAAAAATCAGTGCATGTTAACATACTGCCGTTGTTTTCTCCAAGGTCCTCTTTATCGATAACTGGCGCGTTCTGCATGGCAGAGAGTCCTTCACCGGCCTGCGGCAGCTGTGTGGATGTTATCTGACGCGTGATGATGTGCTGAACACAGCGCGCTCTCTGGGTCTCCACGCCTGAATACCTAATGCTAAACTACCCAAACGACAGCGGTACACCATCATTTACCAAAAACAAGTTGATTTCTCAAGCATTAGGATAGCGGAGGACGCTTGATATACAGCACACAGCAGGATCCCAACAGTATTCAGTATTACTCATCAACTCTTTTTTTGAATGATTTCATGATTTGAATGAAATGAGTTTATTGTAGAGGATGCATCTTTTGATCCGTAACGATTTCTTTCCACAGAAAAACAGATGGTAGAGTTGAATTTAAATGATAGATTTTTTAGAAATGGTCAGGACATGCAGTAACTCAAGAGATAATGGAGTGAAACGCACATATTTCAGAAGAGTTGTGCTGTAATGTCTGATTTTAAGGCGTTTATTCACACAGACGACTGAAAGATTAAATCAGAAGAATGATGTTTGAAGCGTGGAAATGTGTTAAAGGAATAGTTCACACAAATATGATAATGTCCTGATTATTTACTCACCCCCAGGCCATCCAAGGTGTATCGGTCTTTCTTTCTTCAGCTGAAGTTTTAGAGTAAAACATTATAGGATTTTTCACCATCTAATGCAAGTGAATGGTGCTCACTGCTGACCATTTTTAAATCCATATCAAAGTAATCCACGTGACCCAAGCTGACTAACAGGTTTTCTACAGTGAAATGATCAGTCAATTTCAGGGGAATTTTTTACTTCTATATTTTAAACTAAAGATGCTGGCTTTGGTCCAGCTCCGTTTAATTCACGAAGTCTTGTGTGACATATGTGCGCTGGGAAGGTCACGCGTGATGTAGGCAGAAAGAAGGAGCACTGTCCTAAAGCTGAAAATGAGTTGTGTCAGTTTATTGTTAACAATTAAAATAGTCATGAATTAAACTGATGCTGTGTGAACTATTCCTTTAAATGGTTGTAAATGGAGGGTATTTCTTTGGGTTTGTGCCTTAACAGTGATATGGGGACGCATGGTTGAGATAATGCTAAAGATCTCACAAAGCTTAAATATATGTATTGCATTAATGCTTGGGAGCTTTTTTTTTGTAATCTGTGGCATTTTAACATTCTGTATCCTATATAAAATGATCTCAAATGTATGTACGCACAAAAATACCAATGTTACCTCTAGAAAATAAATACATTTCCGTGCATTTTGTCTTTTTCCTTGCATTTTGTTAACTTTGACTATAGTCTTATCACTTTTTGATTATATTCGTTTGAGTTTAGACAAAGAACACACTGTAGCTAATACTATAAAATGCACACAATAAATATAAAGTACACACATAGTGCAAGTGGAAAAGTCAATGCAGTTCACATTTTAAAATGTAAAGGTAGTTTTAAGCAAGATATGTATTTATATATATATATAATTATAGATTCAATAAATGCGAAATTCTATATTCCATATATATTTGAACGCGTCTTTAGTTTGGACGATCATAAAAGTTTATGGTAATTATCCACATTATTATTTTATTTAGAGATTTTGTTCTGTTCTTTCTCTTCAGCATCTCATTTCAACAGTTAATGAATGCCTATGATTTTATTAATTTTGTAATTTCATCTGAAGATCAACATTTGTGAGATTTAGTCAGTCAAACCCGTTTTGAGGTTAGTAATTAATTAGTATTAGTATTACTTTATATAATATCGCGATACTTCACATCCCGAGATGTATGTAGTACGCATGCGCGTTCAGTCACACGTGCAGCAGGGAAGATGGCGGACACGGAAAGTAAGCTCATGTTTTCCACATTCGCGTTATTTCTGAGGGTGCTTAAAATTCAACTAAATATTTTGCTTTGCATTTTTATTCACGCGTATGATGCGCTTAACAAGTGTGAAAGTACGTCGAACAAAACATGAGTTCTCAACTTCAACCGGACGAATGGTAACATTAGTGTTAAAAGATTCCCGGGTTCGTTTAGAAATGCAAGACTAATGCTTAAACGTTTTTGTTAAGAAATGTGTTTTAGTGTCATTACTACTAATAGTGGGAAAACTAAGCATATTACCTCAACAACAAAAAATATCCTGTCATTAGTTAAGCTAGTATT